GTTTCTCGCGTTCCCTGGGCGCTTGGCCGCCTGCCGCCAAGAATACTTCAACTTCGGCCTCCAAGGGTCTTGCGTCCTTACCACGCGTCCTTACTATGCATTCTCACTGTAGGTCTGCTTTCGCACTTGCAGTGAATGATCCCGCTCGCTGCGCAATTCCCTGGCCCGCCCAAACCCAGACCCTTCTCGTTCCCGCCCCCCCTCGCCTCGCCCCCCCCCCGCACTACGTGCCCCTTGTGGTTCCAATCCCTTCCAACCGACTCCACTCCGCCCGCTCCCTCGGCCCTGCGCCCATTCGTTCGCCCCGCGTGGGGGAGGGAGGTTCACCCAGACGACTGGGCTCAGTCCTTGCAGAAGAAGGTCGACCATGCCATGAGCAGCCGCACCGACTACTTCGTGCGCATGTGCATCGAGAACAAGGCCAGCCTCGTCAAGGACATGGCGCCGACTGGGCTTATCGAGGAGTATAAGAAGATTACTGACAGGACAGCGGGCGTGTGTTCAGAGCATTGCACTTAATGCAGATATGTCTACACACCGTTAGTCATACTTATATATAGAACACGACGCACACATGTACACGTAAGTCTATATAGTTATAGATCACATGATGTGATCACAGCCAGAGAACAGTGATACATACATCAAGCCAACTAGAAACTTACAATTCAGAACTCGATCTGATTGCACTCGACCGCAACACTCCCACTCGTCCGACTTCCGTCCTTCTCGCCCTCATCCAAAAACGAAACTGCGACTGAATGCGAAGGACTCGATCCCGCCCCTCTCGCCCCTCATTTGCCCCTTCCCTCCCCCATCCCTGCCCCTTCATCCCGCCCCCCCGCCTCTCGATGCGAGCCTTGTCCCGCCCCTCCTTGCTCATCTGGCGCCAGTGGATAGATGGGGGGGGGCAGGATGAGAGCTTATCCAGCTGAACCAGATCATCAACGAGCAGCACGCGTTGAACAACAAGTGGGCTAATAAATAGGCACAGTAGGGATCAGGCAGCTGCAGCGGGCTAGACTGTACTAGCATAGAGCTCAGCAGCGGGGTGCACTCATTGCATGGCCCCCAGGGAACCCAGCAACAGGTGACAGAGAGCTAGGAGGGGAAGATGGTGAGGGCGCGGCCAATTCGGCTGGCGAGGCTCCGGTTCCCCCACCGAAACACTACCGATGAACTCTGAACCGATGATCTCCGATGAAACAGCTGCAAAACCATATATATATATATATATATACATATGAAAAACACAAAAATCATGGGCGATGAACTCCGCGATGAACAGCGATGAACTCCGATGAACTCTGCAGAGCTCCGGAGAGCTCCGAGAAACCATCCGGAGAAAACTGGAAAATGCTTGGCGTTAGAAATCCGAGTGCCTCGCCCTGCCCCTCCTCCGCTTCCACTCCTCCTGCCCAGGGCTTCCCTTCAGTTCCGCCCCCTCCTTCCCTTCCCCCCCCCCTTTCAATCGGGCCCCTGCTTTAACGCGGCGCCAACCTCGCGTCTGCGCCGTTCATCATTCCCACCGTTCTCCAGGGGAATAGTCGCGGAAACATCCATCAGTTGAGAGGTACCTGAGGAGGGCGAGAATGACAATGAGGCGTTTCTTTTTGAAGCATTTCTGCGCGATAAGAAGCAGCGAACTTCAAGCCGCTCTCGCGACGCTTGTGGAGAAAGTGTGCAGTGTCTCAAATGGCCATTTGTTTCCAGCGTTTCTGCTCTCCTCGTTCCGTGAAGTTAAGACGCTGGAGTGAGGACATATTTGGGTGCCAGTTTGAGGGCCGTTCAGTAGATTCACGTCGTGGATCCCATTCGTGGCCAAGGCCCGCCATGGCCAGACCGTTCCTTATAATGCGTTCATTATGACAGCAGGATGATTTCACTCTCGCTCAGAGTCCGCCCCTCCAGCAGCCATGGCCAGTTGCGGCATGACTTGCATGCGCCTCGTGCGAGGCTCTTGCGAGGAAAGAACGTCGGCTCGATTCTCGCCGTTTTTGTGGGGCAATCGAGCGTGCAAGGATTCGCTCGATACATGAAGTTTTCTACTAGGGAGAAGTCAGATAACTATTGCACTCCCGACCTATACCCCACTTGCCCCGCTTCCCCCCGCCCCGTGCACCCTACACCCTAGGCGATGCTTAAGAAACGGAAGGTTTCGGCCAGAGTCTCGATTAGTCTTACTGTTTCAATGTAAATCCTAAAAGCGTAGTAGAAATTTAATGTTTTTTATTCCGATTATGAGACTATGAATTTCTTAACCCATGATTTCTTAAGCATTTCGCAGGGC